ATTTGGACTATCCAAGCGGCCCATCTCTGACGCCAGGAGAAGGATTGTTAGAGGGGATTAATAAATATGCTTATCCTACACCTCTAGATACGCCTCCGAGCACACTATTGGCAGCTAGTATAACTATCATCTATGAAAATAACCTTAACCTCCGTCAGAGCTCTAAGCATATAGCTAGAACATTAACTAGCAGGGTCAGGCCTAGAGGGTCGCTTGTTCAGGAAGTAATTATTAAGAAAGGTCCCAGAGGGGCTCTTGATGGTGTAGACACGGTCAGGTCTTATCGGAACTTGCAGTGCACTAGCACAAACTCAGTTAAGCTTAATACTCAAAGATATCTTTATAGTGGAAATATTGATATTGACTTTAATTCTGCGCACTCTTCTATCTACATCTTGAGGGGATTGTTGGACACTATTTATGCTTGAGAATCCCATCCACGCAATCTCAAATAGAAGATTCTCGACACAGAGCTGTAAAGTTGATTCGTAGATTCAATCTTGTGACTTCAATTCTCGAATTTTCCTTGTATCAATGTTGTAGGCTTTCCTTGATTAGGTTTAGCTTACCTAATCCTCGACAGGTCTAGAGGATCACGTGCTAAGTTTGGGGACAGGCCCAGAGGGTCGCCCAATCTACATGACTCTATAATAGGTCTTAGAGAGGCTCATGGCAGGTATATCCTTGAGGACAGACCCAGAGGGTCGCTTGAGAAAAACAGGGTAGGCTTCAGAGAGGCTCCTGTTAAAACCGTCGCCACTGCTTTAACTATGCAACGAGGAGAGCTTAATCCTTAGAGGTTTGCTTTTCTAGCAGGCACACGACATCGTCAGTATGAGGTAAACACAGTCAAATTTGATCACGTGAGCCTCCAACAACGTCTAAGATTAGGACGTCGACTTCAGTTAGTTCTAGATTTTTTCGAGTTGATAGGCGACTTCCTTTTTAATTATTCATATCAAACAGTCAGAGGCTCAAATTCCTCACCCCTCTCTACTACCTAGCTCCCAAGAGCGCGGCCGTTGACGCGCCTCAACGCACCTAGCAACACCATGGCGCGTAAAGGCTCTGGTATAGATGGCCCTCTACAGACAGCCCTCCTGGAATCCACATTTGCAGCCACGACAAGAGCTTCTAAAGGATAGAAGATCTTCAGCCCTATAGCTGCATTCCTCGACAAACACCGCAGCCAAACCGCCGGCCTTGCCCCTCACCTACTAAGAGCCCTCACCACTCTAAGCGATGACCTCGCCTCAATAGCCCAACAACATTTCAACGCCTACATTAGCAGTATCTCGACAACCTCCATTCCCCCTGCCCTATTCTCTTCCCCTTT